TAAGAATTACTTAGACAAGTTAGATGTCTTCAAGTTGACAGGTCCTAATGAAATACTTCCTAGAATACTTAAGGAACTAGCTGAAGAGATCTCTGAGCCATTAGCGATTATCTTTGAAACTTGTGGAGGACAGAAGAGATCCCAGAGGACTAGAAAAAGGCAAATACAGTACCTATCTATAAAAAGGGGGATAAGAAAAATGCAAGGAATTATAGACCAGATAACTTAACTTTGGTATCCGGAAAGATAATGGAGCAAATAATCAAACAATCAATTTGTAAGCACCTAGAAGATAATAAAGTGATAAATAAAGTCAATATGTCAAAAACAAATCATGCCAAACCAACCTAGTATCCTTCTTTGACGGGGTAACAAGCCTTGTGGATATGGGGGAAGCAGTAGATGTGTTACATCTTGACTTTAGTGAGGCTTTTGATACTGTCTCACCTAACCTTCTCATAAGCAAACTAGGGAAACCATAGCCTAGACAAACTTACTAGAAGGTGGGTGAACAATTGGTTGGAAAAGCTTACTTCTAGAGTAGTTATCAATGGTTCACTGTCACGCTGGAAAGACATATAAAGTGGGGTCTTGCAGGGATCTGTCCTGGGTGTAGAGCTATTCAATATCTTCATAAATGATTTGGATAATGGCACAAGAGAGTACACTTAAAAAGTTTGTGGATGATACCAAGCTAGGAGAGGTTGCACACGTTGGAGGACAGGATTAGAATTCAAAATGACCTTGACAAACTGGAAAAATATTCTGAAATAAATAGGATGAAATTCAATAAGGATAAATACAAAGTACTACGCTTAGGAAGGAATAATCAATTGCACAAATACAAAATGGGAAATGACTGGCTAAGAAGGAGTACTGCAGAAAAGGATCTGGGAGTTATAGTGGATCACAAACTAAATGAATCAACAATGTAATACTGTCTCAAAAAAAGTGAACATTATTCTGAGATGTATTAACAAGAATGTTGTGAGCAAGACACGAGAAGTAATTCTGCCACTCTATGGAGGAGCACTGATAAAGCCTCAACTGGAGTAATGGCCAGTTCTGGCCACCACACTTTCGTAAAGATGTGGACAAACTGGAGAAAGTCCAGAGGAGAGCAACAAAAATGATTAAAGATGTTTAGAAAACATGGCCTACAGGGAAAGACTGAAAAATATTAGCGTTGTTTAGTCTGGAGAAGACAAAACAACCAATCTGTCAAACCAATCTGATAGCTTTCTTTGATAGGATAACGAGCCTTGTGGATAAGGGTGAAGCGGTGGATGTGGTA